AGAGTTCTCTGGAAGAACAGCCAGTGCTCTTAACTGCTGAGCCATCTCTCCAGTCCCGATTCTTCTATGTTTCTTTAAGACAGTCTCACTATGTAGCTCAGGCTTGCCTTGAACTTGGCATTCTCCTGAGTATTGAGATGGCATGTATGCACTACCACCCTAGGGGTTTTCTTTTGTGGGTGAGAGGGGTTTCAAGACAGGGTTTCTCTGTGGTAGCTTTGGTTCCTGTCCTGGAACTCAATTTGTAGACCAGGCTAACCTCGAACTCACAGAGATTCACCTGCCTCTGCCTCCCGAGTGCTGGGATTAAAGGGCACCACCATCTGGCAGGACCTTGTTTTCTAAGGTGTGACTGTCCCTAGTCCTTCCGTCATACCTCACTCACTTTATACACTCATCATTTATTCTGTGTTTGTAGGCTGTTTATACGTTAGTGTCTCTGTATCGACAATATACAAATCTACTTGGGAAAATGAATTCACAGGAGGAAGATGAAGTGTGGCAGGTGATTATAGGAGCCAGAGTTGAGGTGAGCAGACTTGTCAGCATTTCCATGTAATGGTCCTCATTATAGTGTAAACGGTTATCTTGAGAGTAACTGTGTTAACCCTTCATGGTCTCTGGAGCTCTTTTCTGATCTTACAGATGACTTCAAAACAGCAAGAATACTTGAAACTGGAAACCACGTGGATGACTGCAGTTGGCCTGTCAGAGATGGCTGCGGAGGCCGCCTATCAAACTGGTAGGTAAAGGGCTGGGTTTTTGTTGTTTCTTACTTTTAATGTAGTTGTTAACTGAGAACTTTAAACTGCCTGATTGATGATAGAAACATCTCTGAGAGCTGTGGTTCTCAACCTAGTCCTGTGACCCTTTAGTCCAGGGCCTCATGTTATGGTGGCCCGAAACATAAATTTTTGTTGCTACTTCATAAATTTAGTGTTGCTACTGTTATGAGTCATAATGTAAACATTTGATATGTAGGATATCTGATATGTGACCTCCCCCAAAGGGGTTGAGAACCATTGGTTTAGAGGTTTCCCCATTTCTGTGTTGTATGTATATATGGTCTCATATAGCCTTGGCTAGCCTCAGACTTACTATATGTAGAGCAGGCTGTTCTTGGCCTCTCCAAGGGGCAGGCCAAGCTGCCACATGAAGTCCTGACGTTTTGTCTGTGTCCATGGAAGTCAGGCTGCGAGTCTGGAAAAATAACTAGTGCAGCTGCTACAGAATGTTGCTAATAGCGCTAAGGGTTTCCTCCTTTTCCGTGTGATCATAAGCCTGTGTGCATCTTTAAATAAGACAGAGAGATGAACCAGTAGAGCACTTCTCTGCTCGGGCGGGTCAGGGCGGCACTTTTGGGTCGTGGCGCTCCTTTAGCATGGAGCTAGTTGCGCCACTCAACGGCTGCAGTGTGGAAGTGGCCAACCTGAAATTAAGCCTTGCTTCATTTCTCCTCGAATACAAATGTTAGAGCTGGATATGGTGGCTCGTGCCTATAATCCTAGTACTTGGGAAGCTGATGCAGGAGGATGTCTGTGAATCTGAGACTAGCCTGGGCTACAGAGCCTTGTCTCAAGAGAGAGAGAGAGAGAGAGAGAGAGAGAGAGAGAGAGAGAGAGAGAGAGAGAGAGAGAGAAGTTCGGGTTACCACACTGGAATTGGAGCTGGGGGCCAGAGCTCTGCCCTCTTTTTAGTGCACTACACAGAAAATGTAGGTGTTTTTCCTTTCTGCACCAAGTGTGATTTGACTGTTGATGTTTCTCCAGCAGACTTAAAAGAAATGATTAAATGTTTAGCATCTAATGTGATCTAGTCCCAAACCAGATGTGTGCTTTTTTTCTCCTATCAGGATATCAGGTTGAGGCTTACAGCATTAAGTCCTAAAAATGATTTTTTTTTTTTAAAGTAGTGGATGGTTTTATTTTAATGGGACTGTTGAGACGGTCTCACTCTGAGGCTAAGCCAACCTAAGTTTGCAATGATCCCTCTGCCTCAGCCTCCCAAATGCTAGAACTGTGGGCGTGAGCCATCTTTCCCAGCAGGTTTGTTTTGGGAAGTCGGTGCTATATAATTGTATTTTATACTATATTAAACTTCAAAAATGAAAGTAAGAAAGCAGCGTTGTAGGAGCCAGTGACTAGCCAGATGTGGTGGGCAGCTTCTGAGGATGCCCCGACCCATGGGTTAGTCAATGGAGACCCTAAGGGTGGGGAGTGAGAATTGAAAGGGACAAGAGACACAGAGGATGGAGACAAGACAGGATTCTGATCAAGTCTCGTTTATTAGGAGAATAAACAGGTAGATATAGAGCAATGGGAAAGAGGGAGTGGGTTCTAACGTCAATGGGTAACTAGGCAGCTATCATGAAATATGTTCCAGAGGAGAATACAGCGAAAGTCACTGATTACAAGGAAACAGATGCTTTTAGCAATTAGTCAGAAAGAGGGACTGCTGCTAATATCAAAAGGTTAATAAATCAGAATAATAGGTTCTTTGGCTGGAAACTTAAAGATAGCAAAAAGTTTCTCACACGAGGAAGTTCTGAGAAGTGCATCAGGAGCCTCCCAGGGGGCCTCCCCCTCCGCCTGTGGGAGCACTACTGAACAACATGTGTTCAGAAGCGGTAAACTGTGGGTCAGCACTCTTCTCAGAGAAAAGCCTGTAGGGTACTGGGAAGAGGAGCTAGAACCAGACAGTAGTAGTTGATTTACCCTGCAAAAGTAGATGCAGGCTAACTGACAGCAGACTGAAGTTTTACATTTGATTAAACAGACCTCCACATGCCTCCATTTGTGGAAACACTACTCCGGAGTCAAGTCTGAAAGAAGAAACTTCCTTTTCTAAAACTTGGAAAACCTTGACTCTAAAAAGTAGTGGGGAAATAAAAGCATGCAAAGATTTTTTGAGAAGTAATAGGTACTAGTTTCACACACTACAAAAATAGGAGGAGGGGACAGAGAAAACATGGTACATTGAGTTGAGGCAGAAAATGACAAAGTCTCTTAGAAAGTACAGACTTGTCTGGTGGTGGTGCACGCCTTTAATCCCAACACTTGGGAGGCTGCGGCAGGTGGACCTCTGAGTTCAAGGCCAGCCTGGTTTACAGAGCGAGTTCCAGGACAGCCAGGGTGATAACAAGGATACCTTAACAGGCTGTGTCAGAAAAATAATTCTAGGCCAGTGATACGGCTCAACAGGTTAAGGCACTTGCCACCAAGCCTAATGACCTGAGTTCAATTTCTGGACCCTACATAGTAGAAAGGATCCCTAGGAGTTATCCTCTGACCATGGGTGTCAGAGAGGGAACTGAAGAACTGAGCAACAAGGCAGAAACCAACATAACAAGTGAGATGAGCTTTGCATCTTCAGGGACTCACAGACCAGAAGACGTCTTCTCAGGCAGTGAGACAGGGTCTCTCAGTCAGCCAGTGTGGTTAGTGTCACTAGCCAGCTTGTTCTTGGAGATTGGCTCTTCCATCTCAGTCTTCCAGGCTGGAATTACAGCTGGCCGGCCTTCATGCCCACCCCACACATACATGGGTTCAGGGGACCCAAATTCCTGGCCCTCACATTTAGGTGTCACGTGGTTAGCCACTGAGTGTCTAACCAAGATTAGCACTCATTTTATTTATACATACACACACATACATGCATATACACACACATACACACAAAAATATAGTGTTGACCTGCCTCCCCCCCAAAAAAATAATGCATTTAAGAACATTCAAAGATTGATTTTATACCACACTGATGTCACTTTCTTGAAATTTTCACTCATTGCCCTTCAGCCCACTTCCTCCATTCCTGCTCTGTCAAGTTTAAGTATGCTTCCCAGGGTGGGAATGTAGCTCGGTGGTAGTGCCTTGGCATGCATGCAGCCCTGGACTTTGGCTTTTTTGTCTTTTTGAAAAAGGGTTTCTTTGTAGCCCTGGCTGTCCTAGAACTTGCTCTATAGAGCACTACAATGTGTATGAAGTGCTGACCAACCTGTAGTAAGTGTATAAGCCAGCACAGCACACACCACAGCTGAGTGGGACTGACGTCTACATCGAGCTGCACGTCCCGTATGGGCATTTCCTTAAAATCAGGGATAGCCGAACACCCACCTGGGTAGGGTGGTACACTTTATGGGTGAGACAGAAAAATTCGAGGAGACCCCAGGTTTTTGTCTCTCTTTTTTTAAACAATTTGGTGCGTATATCCTTGAGTGTATGTACATGTAGATGCCCACGGAGTCAAGAATAGGGCATCAGATTCCCTGGAGCTCAAGTTACATGTGGTTGTGAGCCACGCAACATGGGCTACTCCCCATCTTGGGTCTCTGGAGCAGCAAGCACTCTTCACCACTGAGTCATCTCCCCAACATCCTATACCCCATCTTGAAAAGCATAAGATGCAGATTTGAGCTCAGAGAAGCAGGATGGTAACCCCATGAGGGCTGGCTGGGCTGCAGACTCAGGCCTATGTCTGACTTTTCTGCCTAATTGTGCTCAATGCACTATCCCTTCTCTCACCAGGAGCCGATCAGGCCTCTATAACTGCCAGGAATCACATCCAGTTGGTGAAGTCGCAGGTGCAGGAGGTGCGCCAGCTCTCGCAGAAAGCAGAAACCAAGCTGGCTGAAGCACAGACACAAGAATTGCACCAGAAAATCCAGGAAGCCAGTGATGAGAGAGCTGACCAGGAAGAGGAGGCCTACCTGCGGGAAGATTGAGGCCTTGAGCCCACTGCCCTTTCTGCCCACTCAGTGGGGAAAGAGGGTGATGGCATCCACCTGGTATCACCCCAAGTCTGCGGAGACAACAGGCTCTGCCCTTGCCGGTCAGACCGGAAGCCTTTTGTGAGCTGTGCCTGCCCTTTTCTGGTCTGTCTTTATGAGCCTGGTTCACCCAACACTGTCTCACTCAGCACCTCTCTCGCCATTTTTTTTTTTTTTTACCTCATACCCAAAGTATTTTACGAACCTGGGCCAGAGGAGGGGGGGCCTTTTCTGCCATACCCTCAAGTTCAATTGCTGTTTAGCTGCAGTTTTTAATATTACTCGGATTTTCAAATATAATTTAAAGTTTGCTCCAAAAGAGGGAGCCTATCTGGTTTGTAAGATTTGTGTTTATAATGTCCTTTGTCCCTGTGAGCACAGCTCAGCTAAGGAGTTTCTCAGAGTGTGACTGTTCCTGGTGCTCCCCACAAGCCTAACACATGCTTCCTGCTCGCTCCTTCAAGTTTCTCTGCTGTGTCCAAAGGAAGTTGGTGTTTGCATTAAAAAAAAAAAAAAGTCATGCTGTGTCTTTCCTTCATTGCCTAGGTGGTGGGAGTTGTAGGGCCCCAGGCCTTCCTGCAGCAAACGTTCCTGTTCGGCATATGCTGGACAAGTTTGCCAGATTTCAGCACTTTTAATCCAATAAGGTTGGTGGCGTTATAGAAATGGAGAGAGCGCTTCCTGTCGACCAGCAGGGACGTGGTGTTCAGTTTCTCCTGGTGAGAGGAAGCTGTTATTTAACTGGCCCTTCAGGGCTAGGGCTAGGGGGTAGCTGTACACTTGAGTCTCTTATCTGTCACCAGCGCCCACATGGTCCACATCTCCAGGGGGCTTAGACGGTGCACCAGCAGGAGCCCTTTGTACAGACAAGGGTCCCTGGGGTTCAGGGGCTTTTGGATCCCAAATGTCTTGAAGCCAGCGTGGTGTATGGGGCTCACCCCTAGCTTTTTCAGGCACATTCCCACAAAGACATCATCAATGGGGAAGAGTTCTGCCTCTTCCATGGCTGCGTGAAGTCGCCTCACAGTAGCCCGGGACATAACATAGCCTCCTCCTCCTGCATAAGGTGGGTAGTTGCGGGCCCTGTACATGGAGAATGGGATGAAGTATTTGACTTTGGTGTTCCTATTGGGCCGGGCCTGGCGGATGACATCTCCCACGAAGAGATCCTGGGCAGGATCCCAGCCCTCCAGGAACTCCAGCACATTGGGAACATGGATAAAGACATCATCGTCTCCCTTTAGGACGAAGTGGGCCTGCGTGCAAGCAGCTGCCATCCAGCGCTGCACATGCAGCTCCTTCAGCGTCAGGTTGAAGAAATCCTCAGCAAAGTCCCACTGCAGGATGTCATCGAACTGCCAGCTCTCATAGGCCAGTAGCTGGGCTGGGGGCACAGGTCCTGCTACCCCTAGGAGAAACACCAGCTTCAGCTGCCGGCCCCTAGCCCAGCTCCCAGCCCGGCCCCAAGTGCTTCTAATAGCTGCACGCTGCTCAATATGATGAGGCTGTGACTTGATGGCCAGGAGCAGGAAGGTGTCCCTAGCACACTCAGAAGGCTCCAGCAACGTGGAGAAGTTTTGGCAGTGTCGATAGGTTAAGAAGAGGCGATGGCGGCTGGGCAGGGACAGGGAGGCATTAGCAATTGTTAAATTGGGTGGGCACTGGCTGTGCTGGGGCCTTGGCAGAGCCCATAAGTGCTGGTGAGCCTTGGAGCTCCCTGTTGGTGTGCGCTCCTTCAGAAAGAGCAGGCCGCTGAGCCGCAGTGCCACAAGGCTGCAGGACAGCACACAGCCCAACCTGCGCCACATAGTTGAGGCCCTGTGGGGAGAGAGCACCTGAGTCCCAGGCCTTTTGAAAAAGGGAACTTCATGACAGGGCAACAGGCAGTGGTGGTTCACAGAACAAAAATCACAGCGTGAGAGGTTAGGGGGAGGGGTGGGGTTCATCAAAGGAACTACAGCTTGGGTTTAATGCCACCCTCTTGAATTCTGGTTCAGGAAGTCTTACAGTGACCCAAAGACAAATGGTATTCACCACAGTCGCCTGCCCAAGGCAGTTCATCCTCACTTTCCTTCCTGTCATTTGTTCCTCCAGGTGTGGTCCAGCTTTGTCTTGTATCCTGCCTAAAAAGTTTTCTGATTCCTCCCACCCCCAAGCAGGATCTCGTGTTCAGAAATAATCTCAAATCTCTGTATAGCCACAGATGTTAAACACCTGACCGCCCTGCCTCCACCTCGCCAGTACTGGGATCATAGGCAAGTTTCATGTGACGCTGGGGAGCATGAGGGCACAACTAAGCCACCCCCGCAGCCCCAAAACAAGTTTTCTAGCATCCCTTAGAGCGTGGAGCCACAGCCAGAGCCAGCTCCACACCTACACGTGGGGTACAGGGCCACAGGTGTAGCAGGCAAAACTGAATACTCGTCCCCGAATCTCTTTCCCATTCTTCAGTTCAAAACGGCCTATCTGGGTCAGCCTTGTCCCTGTCGTCCCTAGCGATAGACAGAGCATCTCTTTTAGCATCTCTAGTGTTAGTCAAGCAGCTAGGAACACCCTCACAGGCATGAGAAACCCAGATAATGCTAAGAATTAAGTGACAGGAAAGGTTACCAGACCTTGGGACGTTTGAGCAAGTGCATGAAGCACGGGAACAGAAAGTGACAGGCCGAAAGAACAGCCAAGCTGCGCGCTGGAGTAGGAGCCACGCAGACAAACCTGAAGATGAGAGCGTATGGGGACTAGAATGCCCCACAAGGCTGAGGAGCAACACCCGAGGATGTAGTCCAGGATTAAATATGTGCCTATGGTTTGTTTTGATGTCATTCCTGCTGCGGCTAAGGATGTGAAAGACCCGGGCGGGGGTGGGGGAGGAGATTGAGGCTGCTAGAAAACTTTTAGGTTGCAACCGGAGCTGAGCCTCGCGGAGGTGCGGAGAGTGGCGGAGCTGTAACTGCTCCAGGATCTCAGGTGTGCGAAGTCTGCTGCCATCCGCGCCACTCACTGAGGGGGACTCTGGTTTGTCCCGTGACCTGGTAGCCCTCCCACGCGGCAGCACCCCAAGCCCACCCAAAATCCCCGAAAAAGTCTACTTCCCTGTCCGAAAGTCCGTCCCGCGGGACCGGATCCTCCCACCGTACTACGTGCCCCGGGTCCTGCGCGCCCTCGCCCTGGGGGTGTCGCCAGCCTCAGGCTCCCGGGAAAAGGGTCCCCGAGGAGCTCCATTCTTTCAGCCCGAATCTACAGGGCTGCGGTCGCCGGAGCCGGCAGCGCAGTGAATCAGGACAACCGCCCAGAGCTGACCCGAGACGGAGGGGCAACAGAAGTCCGCCAGCAGAGGCGCCCGCACTCCGGTCAACGGGATCCAGGAGCCGCAGGCCGCGTGGCCTCCCCCGTCCTCCCCAGACCTACCTAAGCTCCCGTGGGAACCGCGCACCTACAGAGGCTGAGCGGCTTCTACCTGTGCGCTTGGAACCCCCCGCTGGGCGGGGCTTCGGGGCGGGCCCCAGAGAAGGCGGGGCTTCGGGGAGGGGGTAGTGAGAGGGGCGGGGCTCCCGAAGGAAATTCTTCGGGGCGGGCCCTAAGGGGGCGGGGTCCAGGGAGCCCTGGGCCCCGCCCCACCCCACCAAGCTCTACTATCCAAGTAGCAACCGTGGATAGGTCGGATAGGTCGCGGCTGCTGCGCTCCTCCCGAAGCCCGTTGGGGAGCCCGCGCCACGCCCCCTCCCCTGCCGATGGACACTCAGACACCCAAGCTCCGGCAGCGAAGCATCCTTTACTTTCCCGGCTAGTCAAGTAGGCTGAGGAAAGCTTCCTCCACCGAGCGGTACTGATTCAGTTGGATCTGAATCTCCACGGTCAGGGGCTCCGGCTGGTACACGCTTTCGAAGGTTGGAGTCGCCATTTTTGACTTTTCTGAGAAAACAACAGTGCGAACAGATGAGCCCCAAGGGACATATGGGATGCAGGCCTCCCCCATCCTGGACGTGCTCCTCCCTCATCCCGAAACTCAAGCCCTGTTCTCCGACCTAAAGGAACTCAGCTTCCGAAAGAGACCAGGCCTAGAATGTTAGCCGTAATAAAGAATAAGTTCAGGGCTGGAGAGATGGCTCAGCGGTTAAGAGCATTGTCTGCTCTTCCAAAGGTTCTGAGTTCAATTCCCAGCAACCACATGGTGGCTCACAACCATCTGTAATGAGATCTGGTGCCCTCTTCTGGACTGCAGACATACACACAGACAGAATATTGTATACATAATAAATAAATATTAAAAAAAGAATAAGTTCAATTGAATTTGTCGAGATCACTGAATAAGGCCCAGCTGTTTGAGTATAAAAACTTATGGTGCTTTTTAAAAGCCGGCAAGCCTGACGACTTGAGTTCCATCCTCAGGACCCACTTGTCCCTCTGATCTCCACGTGCAGGCCACAGTCCACGCACATAACACATAATTAAAAAGAAAGAAAGGCACTGAGGATGCAGCTCAGCTTGTGGAGAGCTTTGGTGGCCCTAGGTTTGCTCACCAGCACTGCATGAGAGAGAGAAAACGTGTGAGTATTTTGCAGGGTTTTTTTTTGTTGTTGTTGGTGGTTTGGTTGTTTATTTTTTATACAGGGTCTCATCTCACTTAGGTCTGGCTGTTTTGGAATTCTCTTTGTAGACCAGGTTGGCCTTGAACTCAGATCTGCCCACCTCTGCCTCCTGAGTACTGCTATTAAGGTGCAGGTCACCACTGTCTAGCCTCTTGTTTGTTTATTGAGATAGTTTCATAGAGCCTAGGCTTGCCTTAAACTGAGGATGATCTTAAACTCTCAGGCTTTTGCCTCTACCTCTCAGGTTGCCACCACCATGTCTGGCTTGAAGTTTTTCTTTTGCTATTTTTCAAGACAGGGTTTCTCTGTAGCTTTGGTGCCTGTCCTGGAACTAGCTCTTGTAGACCAGGCTGGCCTCGAACTCAGAGATCTGCCTGTCTCTGCCCCCCCCCCCAGTGCTGGGATTAAAGGCGTGCGCCACCACCGCTCAGCGAAGTTTTTCTATTAAAGGCACTGAATGAATTAATGTCTAAGTACTTTAATGGCACCCCACTATTTGTGAGTCCCAGGCTGATCAGGGTGAAGGAACCCTGACTCAACAACAACAGCAAAAACTCTCAAATCTAACACAGAAAACTGAGTTCTAGGCCAGCTTGGGCTATCCTATCCAGGTAGGCAGAAGAAAGTGGGGACGGGTGGAGGGGGCGAAGGAAGGAAGCTAGAAAGCTCCGACATAAGACAAACCTGGCTGAGAGATCCGGTGCTCACAGACTACAGGGGTGGGAAGGCAGGGCAGGGCCGGGCCAGGACTCACCCACCCCAGCCTTTCCAGCACAACACAGCCCGCAGCTGCACTGGGCTTCAGGATGATTCTGGGCTTGCTTCTGTGCTGGCTGGAAGTCATTCTCAGTCTCCCTCATTCCTATAGTCCCTTGGGCTCAGTCCCCACCCTGCCCTCAGTGGCAGCCGCTGGCTCTTACCTTTTTTGGGAACTTTCTTTATCTTCTTTGAATCCTGAGAGAAAGAACCACAAAGCCAGGTACTCGCTGGGATCGATGCTGACCCTGAGGCTGACACTGGGGTCACCCACCCCTCCCCGGGGAGAATGGGCTCTGCTGAGGAGTGTGGTTGACCTGGGCCGTCACCACAACAGCGATTGTCAAAGGTGTCCCGCAGCCCTGACATACAACCAGGGCCTCTCCACAGTGTCGCCACCCTCCACCTTACCCCATCCCTGCCCAACCCAGCAAGCTGTCCATAAGGAAGGAAGAGGGGAGGCAGAGACGGAAGGGCAAGACCAAGGGCCCCTTTGTACCCTGGCATGAGTCAATCTGTCAGATTCCATGGTGCGGATCACCCCAAAATTACACACAGTGGTCACCGCTGAGTCCCCTGCCAACAAGGGCTCCAGGTACACCAGGCCGCTGCCCAGCACACGCAGCACGGGCGGGTCCTGGCGCAGCTCCTTGGGCAGCTCCTTTTTCTTCTTGAGCCCCTTTTTGTCCTGTGGGCAAGGCCAGGAGCACACAGGTGTGAGCAGGACTGGGCCACACTCCCCTCCCTGCCCCCAGGTGACCCAAGCAGGCCTGACCTTTTCCTTGGCAGCCTCCTCTACTTTCTGTTTCTTCCCTTTCTCTTTCTCTTTCTTGTCTGCTTTCCCCTTCTTGGCAGGCAAGGGACTCTCGACAGGAGTGGGCAACACAGGCCAGGATAGGATCTGGAGGACAGACCCGATCTCGGGTGAACAGGGGAGGTGACTCCTGAGACCCACCCTGCCTTGACCTTTCTGGAAAGGCGCTGAAAGGCAACCAAGGAGGGAACACGACAACAAGGAGGGAACCAAGGGGTGACAACACGAGAAAAAGGTCATTGGAAAGGATGCGGACACAGAACACTCCAGCCAATGAGAGGCCAGAGCCCCCTGCTCCGCCCACCTTCTCTTCTACGATGGTCACCGTAGTCCCTGCCAGCAGGAAGTTCTTGACCCGCACCAGCTCCTTGAGGTTGTGCTTCATCTCATAGTTACAAGGAATGACGTCAGTCCAGGGCTTTCGGACGGTGCTGAAGAGAACTGTCCTTGGGAACGAGAGACGTGTGGGACTGTGTTGGCAACCTGGGGCAAGGCTGCCAAGGGATGCCCAAAAAGACAGCAAGCACCCACAAATGGTGAGAGACCAAGACCCAGGCAGGGCAAAGGACCCAGAAAGCCAGGAAGAAAACATTGGCAAAGGCTGAGCAGAGGTGCTCTTCTGGGCATGCTCTGTGTGGAACGGCAGCTGTCCACCAGCTAGAATCAATAAGGGTTTTTGTTTAGCTTTTGAAAGAAAGTTTCACTCTGTAATCCTGGCTGATCTGGAACTCACTAAATAGCTCATGCTGGTCTCAAACTTGAAGTAATCCCCCTGTCTCTACTTCCTAAATGCTAGACTTGTAGGTCTATACCACTATGCTCGACTCCAAAATTTAAAAAAAAAAAAACCAGCCAAGTGGAAAAAACATCATAAACACAAGTCATTACAAAGCAATGCTTTAAGGCAACGAGAGTTCTCCTGGGACATGTGGTGGGGGGTGACAAACCAAAGGGGCAAAGCAAGAACTCCGAAGAAAGAGCTCACGGTGAAAAGAACAGGTATTCATAGGTCATTGTTCTCAGCAGCATCATTCAAAATGGCCAAGGGGTGGGACTCAGCCATTGCCCCAGGGCTGAGCAGGTGAATGAGTAAAGGGGGGGGGTGTCTCTCCATCAGTGGAAGACTACACAGGAGAATTCTGACCCATGCCACAGCACACATTAACTCTGAAGCTGCATCATGCTTCAGAAGGGCTGGAGAGATGGCTCAGAGGTTAAGAGCATTGCCTGCTCTTAACCTCTGAGTTCAATTCCCAACATCCATATGGTGGCTCACAACCATCTGTAAGGTCTGGTGCCCTCTTCTGGCTTGCAGACATATACACAGACAGAATATTGTATACATAATAAATAAGTATTTTAAAAAAAAAAAGAAATGATCCAGACATGGAAGGCAAACACGGTGATTGTATGGAAGCAGAACCTGGACAGGTCTGTAGTGAGGAGCAGGGAGGAGGCTGGGGTGGGGGAGGGGCGGGCAGCTGGGCAGGTGGTGTTGAGTTCTGCTCTGAGATATGGAAAAGGAGCCCGGTCTCCGGTGATCCCTTGGCTCAGCCCCAGCGAATACAGATGGTGTGGCTGCGCTGTGTACTCAGGCAGGGTTAAAGGGAGTTAGAGTCAAAGAGTCCAGGAATAGAATACAGAAATAAAGGGTTCAGTCCAGGAATATAGAAATATAAAATTGTGCCGGGCAGCAGTGGCGCATGCTTTTAATCCCAGCACTAGGGAGGCAGAGGCAGGCAGATCTCTGTAAGTTCGAGACCAGCCTGGTCTACAATAGCAAGTTCCAGGACAGGCTCCAAAGCTACAGAGAAACAAAAAAAGAACTATAAAATTGTAAGGTCAAACACATTTTGGAAGAAAAAAACCTAAATCTGGCAGCCACTGTTAACCTTTAACAAACACTTTCTTAAGACCATTCTTTAAGCACCATCATCCTGGCAGCCATTGTGTACAAAGACAATTTTTTAGTTGTTGTTGTTGTTGTTTTGAGACAGGGTTTCTCTGTGTAGCCCTGGCTGTCCTGAAACTCGCTCTTGTAGACCAGGATGGCCTCCTGTCTCTGCCTCCCGAGTGCTGCCTGGACAGAGGTAAATTTTAACAATGGCCTCCTGCCTCCCAGCTTCCCGGCTAGGCAGGTCCTGCAGACAAAGTTAGCTTCTAACTGTTGCCTCTGTGGGACCCTCTGCTGGTATTCCCTTCATTTTTAACTGTGCCCCCCACCACCCCGTGACTCTACTCTGTCTTGCAGGGACAGTGAAAAGTGGCTGTGTCAGCCATGGGCTTTCGCAAATATTCTAATGTCCTATAACCAAAATTTGTAAAACTTAAAATGTAAAGTGACTTTAAGCCTGACCTCAAGGTTGTAAATGCTCTGACCCACACCTGGTGCTTGATTTTACTATAAGAGGAGGCCAAAACCAGCCCCATGGCCACAGCTACAGAAGCTTGCTTCTGATTTAATAGACTTCGGTGGTTTGTTCCTTGTCGTTGCGTGATCCCGGATCCAACAATAATCTTGCCAGGGGTGGTAGTTTCAGATACTAGTCAACCTTGTAATTAGGCTTTTTTTTTGGGGGGGAGGGGTTATTTTTTTGTTTTGTTTTGTTTTGTTTTCGAGACAGGGTTTCTCTGTAGCTTCAGAGCCTGTCCTGGAATTTGCTCTTGTAAACCAGGCTGGTCCCGAATTCACAGAGATCCGCCTGCCTCTGCCTCCCGAGTGCTGGGATTAAAAGCATGCGCCACCACCACCCAGCATAATAGGCATTTTGCTAAGGGTAAAATTGTCAGCTTCTGACTGTCACATGGCTAAGTAAAAAGCGCAGAGTGACACAAAGGTCTGAGCGTGTGGCTCAAGTAGCAGAGTGCTTGCCCGTGTGCACAGAGCCCTGGTCCACCATCTCCAGCACCGCGCAAAACCAGATGTGGCGGCACAGGCCTGTAATCCCAGCACTCAGGAGGCACGGGCAGGCAGATTTCTGAGTTCGAGGCCAGCCTGGACTATAGAGTGAGTTCCAGGACAGCCACGGCTACAAAAAGAAACCCTGCCTTGAAAAACACACCAAGCAAGCAAGCAAGCAACCAAACAAAAAAACCTTCCTTTCAACAGAGGACATATTTAGTGTCTAGAGGGTTGATCTATCAGAGGACCAGGGTTCAGAATTCTAGCACCCACAAAATGTGTGGCTCACAAATACTTGTAACTACAGCGCCAAGGGATCAACTTCCCGCCGGAACGCCTGTGGGCCACAGACAAGCACCTCCCCACTGAGCTGTCTCCCCAACCCCC